ATGTTTCATGGCCCACGTGCCAAGCCACCGACAGGTGCGTGTATAAGGGTGGAAGGTGAAATTATACCACTCAAACCGCACATGCGGTACCTGGGCCTGACCCTAGATGCGAGGTGGAAATTTGATCGCCACTTTCAGCAGTTGGCGCCTAAGCTGATAGGCACAGCAGCGGCACTGGGCAGACTACTGCCGAACGTGGGAGGGCCCGGCTCGAGTTGTCGTAAACTTTTCGCAGGCGTGGTGCGCAGTATGGCCCTGTACGGGGCACCAATATGGGCGGACGCATTGACGGAGACAAACCGTACCTATCTGAGAAGAGCCCAAAAGATAGTGGCGATCAGGGCTATCAGAGGGTACCGGACCATTTCCTGTGCAGCAGCTTGCGCGTTAGCTGGAATGCCCCCCTGGGATCTGGAGGCACATGTGCTTTCGGATGTATACCAGGGGCGGGCCTCGGCGCGAGAAAGAGGAGAAAGAATTTCCCCGGAGGAAATGGTGCACATCCGGCGACAGGCCGAGGAAGTGCTAATGGATGAGTGGAGGCTCCGTCTAGTTAATCCCACCTGGGGAGTTAGAACGGCCGAGGCAATACACCCGGTCCTGGATGAGTGGGTAGGTCGTCGATTCGGGTCGCTGACTTTTCGGCTGGTGCAGGTGCTGTCCGGGCATGGCTGCTTTGGACAGTATCTGCACCGGATCCAGAGGGAGGCGACCCCGTCGTGTCACGAGTGCGGCGCTGCTGTGGACACGGCTCGGCATACCCTTGAGGAATGCCCCGCTTGGTTGCAGCAGCGTCGCGCCCTGGTCGCGGCAGTTGGGGGGGACCTCTCTAGCTCTAACTATGCTGGGCAGTGACAGGTCTTGGGGCGCGGTGGTCTCCTTTTGCGAGGAGGTTATCTCGCAAAAGGAGGCCGCTGAGAGGGTTCGTGAGGAGCACGCTCACGCGGACTCTCTTCGCCGCCGGAGGGTGCGGGCGAGGAGAAGGCGTAACAACCGGCTCTTGGTCAACACCGACGGAGGCCAGCGGGGCCCGGACTTGGGAGGTCCGAGCTCTGCATTGCACAGGCCTCTGTCTGTAGGTGGGGATGCCTCCGATGCCTCGGGGCATCCCCAAGTTGGGTGGGTCCGTTCGACTCGGACACTCACTGGTGAGGTCGCGGAAGTATCCTTACGGGTTCCCGTGGCCTCACCCAGTGCCTTTGCCTCGCCGGGCGGGGTGCCGCCTGATGGCGGACCTTCCGCCCGACGAGGTGACGGCCCATCAGTGAGGTGAGGGGCATCGTCAGGTTTTTAGTGGGTAGGGCCCCCTTCCTCTCGAGCATCCGTTGAGCCAGTCCTCGGATTGGCTGAGCGGGTGGGCGAGAGGAGGAGGGGAGGAGTCCCACATAACCTCACCGTACTCCCAAGGCGGTGGGGTATGCGTAATGCATTTTCCTGACGTTAAAAAAAAAATGCTATATGCCAAATGTTTTTAAAAATATGCATGAGCATTCGAATCCTTGCAGCTGTTAAATCTATGTGGGGCTGAAAAGTTAGTCTAGCATCGACCATAACTTCAAGATATTTAACCGAAGAAGCTTGACTTAAGTGGGGACATAAACAATTTGACGAGTAATCGTCTGAGTGATGGGTGTGTGCCACAAGAGACAAATTTTGAAGAGCTTCTTGAGGGATCCCGACTTTAGACATAGGCATATATTTCGTTTTTTCGATGTTAAGTGACAGGAGGTTTGCTCTAAGCCAATCAAAGACTCTATCCAAACCATACTGAGCACGTCTAAAAAAATCAAGGCAGTGTCATCTGCGTAGGAAATAATTTTACAATGGGGAATAACGAGAGGTGACAGCTCATTAATATAGACTAAGAATAGAGTTGGACCCAGTATACTGCCCTGTGGCACACCATACTCGATGCGCAAATCCGAGCTCACAACTCCATTTATCACGAGACGCTGCGTGCGATCAGTAAGATAGCTGTGAAACAATGTCAACTGTTTTCCCCTCACTCCAAGGCGCTGAAGTTTATGTAATAGAATTCGAATTGAGACCGTGTCGAACGCCTTGGCAAGATCAAGGAAAACAGTCAAACACTTACCTCCCTTGTCAAGAGTTCTAACTGTATAGTCCGTGAGGTCATGGACAGCATCAGCGGCAGATTTTTTAGCCCTTAAACCATATTGTCCTGACGATAACAGAGCTGAATTTTCAAGATGATGCATTAGACGCTTATTTAAGAGCCGCTCCAGGATTTTAGACATTGCTGGAAGAATTGATATAGGAAGATAGTTATTAGGGCAGTTTTTAGGGCCAGACTTGTAGATTGGATGAACAAGTGCTTTTTTGAATGCAGTAGGAAAGATGCCAGTCCTGATAAATTGGTTACATATGTGAGTTATCATCGGAACAAGGGTATTCTTGAAACGCTTAATAAACGAAGATGAGATATCATCCCACCCAACCGCACATTCACTTTTTAGTGAATTGATGATACTATCGACCTCATCAGTAGTGGTTTCAAGTAGGACAAATGACTTTATCGGTGGGCAAGGGAGAGCAGCCGATCTCTGATTTGGTACAACGTTGGGAGAGTTAACCGCAATCTTTTCAGCAAAAAATTTACCCACGCTAGCAAAGAAAGCATTCGCGTGATTAACTGATTGGTCTTGTGAGGATTTAGTTAGTAATAAGTCATCTGCATTACTACGGTTTTTGTTCATGTTAGCAACATCTCGAATCGCATCCCAGAGCTTCTTATTGTTCTTATCAGTCAAACGCAACATCTCTCTATCATAGTCCAATTTTACTTTTTTGATGAGAGAATTACAAAAGTTACGATATCGACGAAAAGTGATTTTAAGAATGTCATTATTAGGATCTAGCTTAAGGCGTTTGTGCATTTGATCACAGGGCTTTAAAGTTTTTTTACGCTGTGAGGGAATAAAACTTGTGGTGTGCGAAGATATGGCGGATTGGAGCATTTTAATTAATATATTAGTAGCAATATTAGGGTCAGAAGAACTTAGTACCAAAGAGAAATCCATATTTTCAATGGCTGTAGCTAGAGAATCAAAATTGAGCTTTTTAATGATTTTGAGTGTCGGTTTAGCTTTCTTCATATTTATTGAAGTAAGCACTGCGTCATGATCAGTTACCATAGAGTCAATTACAAATGTTTGGGCCTGAAGTAGTGTTTTCAAAAATACATGATCGAGACATTTTCGTGCCCGAGTTGGCAGAGTATGAGCGGGTAGCTCGAGGCCATTGTAAGCCATAATGTTTAAATAATATTCATTATGCTCATCCAGGCTCTTATCATCAGTACTCAGTATATTAAGATTAATGTCGCCCGTCACTAATATATTACTATACTTACGCAGCGAAACAAGGATGCTGTGCAAGGACTGAATAAAATTATTTGGCTTTTTAAAAGCACAGGTTCGGTAAATAGCTAGTATAACTGTGTCCTTATTAATTTCAATTTGTAATCAACTGGCTTCCGAGATAGTGGGTTCAGTGACTGAGACCCTGGCTAGAGAAGTGCTACAATAGACGACAACGCCATCATTTTGGTTGATAGGTTTAGATGAAGTAAAAGAGTAAAAGCCACTAATGTTGGGAATGGGAGAGGCACTCTGTAGCCAACACTCTGTTAAAATAATAACGTCTACGTCAATTTTCAAACGACTTAAAAACAGATTAAAACTATTTATATTTGCGGATATAATACGTATATTTTGTGCGATAATTTTTAGCGGAGGACATTTTTTAATTAAGCTATAAACTTGGAGGGTATCACAGCTGAGGGATTCACTCACTGAGATACTATCTATGTTTTTTATTATAATATTAGAGTTGCAGGCCATTTTTGTATTTAAAAACGGTGGCAACTATAATTGGATTTGCAAAGGCAAAATATAAACAAATAGGTGAAGGTAAACCCTCGATACTTCGATCAGCAACTGATACAAAAGTAGCATAATATGACACCAATACACTCTTAGTATTAGCCAAAATGTTTGTATTTCTATATTTTTTTGCCCGGTTTGTAAAATACTTACTTGTAGTTGTTATGTCGTTCAATAAAATAATAAATATTTGATAACAATGGATCTCCTGTGTGTGAATGTGATATGAATTACATGAGTATTTGGAAGTTTGTGTATAAAAGAGTACAGTGTAAAAGTGTAAGTTTATTATACATAGAATATTATGAGGAGAATTGATGAGGTAAACTGACAGTTTGTGCGAGCTCACAAACTCATACAAAGGAAAACGAAACGAATACGGGCGTGCTCGACTCCGTTCATTTATAAGTCGCGGCACGAAACTAGCGCTGATTATTACGCAGAAGTAAAAATTAAGATGTGGTTTTGTTCAGCGCTGGAGTTACGTGCCGCGACTTATAAATGAACGGAGTCGAGTACGCCCGTATTCGTTTCGTTTTCCTTTGTACGAGTTTGTGAGCTCGCACAAACTGTCAGTTTACATCATCAATGGTAGTACAAGTTATTTTTTTCGAGCATCGATTAAACGATATCGTTAACTCGATAGTACGTATTTTCATCTGTTTTGCACGCTTAGAGAGAAAAAAGGACAGAATTCTGCCTAATATGGATGTCTAACTATGTATTATTATGCTAGAGGCGCTGGTGTGAAATGTATCGAAAACTATCAAAACTCGTACTAAGTGTACTGTACACTTGTCGTTTGTCCGAATTCCATAGGCACTCGTATTCGGGCTAAGGCTCAAGTGTTATCGTGCTATTTTAAGATTAGGATTTAAATAAGTATTCATACCAAGTTTTAACTATAATAACTCAAAGTTTCTCGCATGGCACCAATTTTGGCGATTTCGATTTCAAACAAACATTGAGAAATGCAGTCTCTAGAGGAGGTTGGTTGGTTTGTGATTCTGTGTTAAGTTTTTCATCACCTAGAAGAAGAAGACTTATAAGCTGCTTTTGTTCTAATTAAAAGACTTTATAATATTTTGGTTACAGATAAAATTATTTGCTGCATACTTGTACGAAGTTGGAAAACTACCAAAATGAAGACAGAGCAACAATTGCAACGAAAGAGTGAATACACTATCATAATAATGGCATACAATAACTATTAATCATTTATGTAAGATAATCAAGTACAGATATATACAATGGCATTGATGCATTCCTTTATAAAAAGTACAATTCTTATTTCGCATTGTGTGTTTTGTACAACACATAATATTTTTTACATAATTGTCATTGAAAGACCAGTGCCTTAGTTACGATTTCATAAGATAATGTAGCTGCGATCCTTACATAATATATTTTTTTTATTCCTTTTGGTATTGCAATATTAATAATTATGTTAAAATAAAATGTTTTCATTTTTAATGTTTTATCAGTTAATTTTCCTATTAATTGTATCTGTAATACAAAAATAATATAATAAAATAATAGAAAAAGTATCTTTCGCAACCCGGGCGAATATAATAATCTCTATGCGGATTTGATAAATTTCTTCTAGTATTTTTATGCCTCCCGCACGCATGCGCGATTAAGTTTTGATCATTTATCGTAATAAGTTTAGCGTCTAAAGCGGCGCTAAATGCGTGGTTGTATAGATCGCGCCAATCTTCTAGACCGTTCTGAACACTGCACAATTCGCGTCGTAGTAACAAAAGTCAGGTATTTCAAGGGAAGAAGGTTGTGTTTAGGAACTTCAAAGCGGACTAGAAGTTTGGCGCGATCTATACACTCCTCCAACTGTACATACAAAATCGTCTCTCACCATCCCTTTATGTGTGTCAAAAAGTGCCAGTCGTCTAGCGTCAGACTATCATCACGCAACTCGATATTTTGTTACGATAGAACTAATTGAGATAATCCTCAAAAAATAAACAATAAACAAAAAATATTCCTCTATGTAATATTGGCAACACTCCGCCTACCGTTCTCTACGCCCCTGATCGTAAAATTAGTGTAAGACCTTCGCAACTTTCTCACACGTGTTAATATAATTTCGAACTGTACGATTCTGTAGTCAAAACGAACCCCTTTAGTGTTCGCTATGCTGTCCGTCTTACCGTAGTATAGCTCAAAGACTCATAATTCTAAAAATCTCTAATTTTGCATGGATAAACATACATACTAGTCACGCCTAAGGCGTCAGTACCCTTAGCACGAACCAATATTGAATTCGAATAGTTTGCGAGTGCGAAATTTCATACGTATGAGTTAACGAAACTGGTTGATCAGCCCATCAATATCCCAGTCATTAGGGGTGCCAGTTGGACGGGAATCGTCTGGATCCTCCCGACATTTTATGTGATCTCCAGACACCGGAAAAAAAACAATCTCCTGAAAAACGAACATGACGTTGTAGTTGTCGTTTACCGTTTGTGCCCTGTCAGCGAATCTAGTGTAATTCTCCCGACAACAATCTTCATCCCTACCAGTTATAGCAAAGTGCCTTCTTTTCTGAACATTCAGACCTATAGAATAAGCCCCCAGGACTAGAGTCAAATGCTGGTTCTAATACTATAAATCGAGGTTGAGACTTTATGCATGGATATTTGAAACCCTTGGAAGCAACGCTAAGCTAAGATAATGCTAAGATATAAAGATAATAAAGCTAGGATAAATGTTGTTTGGAAACCGCAAACTATTCGAATTCGATATTTGTTCGATCATAGGGTACCGACTACTGAACCGGTTTTTCCCAGTTCCAAAACAAACATTTATAAATTGGCAAAACACTCTTAATCGATTCGAAACGTAGCGGAATATGAAAACAAACCCTAATTATATATATTACTATTATCTTTAGGTTATAGACAAATTGCTAAATTCGAGGTTTGACTCTCAACGATTTCCTCCTCGAAAATAAGATAAATGCAAAATAAATTTTACCCATAAAATAATAAGTAATTATACTAGGCCTCCATGTTTTGCTTTTTTAATATGATTTACATATTAAATATGTGATGATGATGATGTGATGTGATAAAATTGTTTATTTTTGGCACTTCTAGTTTCTTTAAAACAAAAGTTATTGAAAAAAAAGAAAGACATTGGAGCATAGAATGAGTAAACTTATATTTTATGTATAATAATCACTTCTTTAGTAATAAAATCAAGGAGAAATCAGTCTTGAACGTTTATATAGAAAGAACATTGCCCGCCTCCGTTTTAATTAACGCTGTTATTTTAGTCTGCCACCATTTTAATTCAGCACGCCCAACATTATTGTTTCTGAAGGAGACAAAAACAGCCGCACACTGTCGCAGGTTTTCTTAATATTCTGCCTTCGTTTACCTGTTAGAAGCCATTGTTTGCTTGTTTGTTCGGGCGGATGTTTTTGTAGAAAATTCAGTTTGTGCTGCCTTGAAACCCTTACCTCCACATTACGGGTCTACAGATCCCACTCCGCTGATGCTGTGAATCCTCGAAATTTTGACGAGACAGATTTCGCGTAGCATTTTCCCTCCTTTTTAAAACTCGCAAACTAAAACATTGTTAACATTATGTAATTAAATATATATTATAATAACGAGATATTTACCACGTGTTTTACTCATGAGCTCCCGAAATTTCAGAAATTTAAACGGTTGCTCTTCAAAAACATGATGTTGGTCTATCAAATTCATTTTTATTAACAAAGAGATAGAAAAGAAAACACGCGTTACGTATAAAGAAATTACATATAAATACAAGTGAAGCGAATTTTAAAACCACTATCATAATCTACCACGTGCTAGTCAACCTAACTCAAAATGATAAGCAAAATGACGCTTTATAAAATAACTAGCTGACTCGGCGAACTCCGTACCGCCCAAAAGTAATAATTTGCAATAAATTAAAATTGCAACTATAATTTGAGATTTAAACTATCCTATCTCTCAAGTTGGATCGATCTGCACATGGTGTGCGAATTTTATTATAATCGGTTAAGTGGTTTAGGAGTCCATTGAGGACAAACATTGTGACACGAGATTTATATATATTAAGATTAGTGTTTTAATATTAAGTTAGAGGTTAATCATATACATTTATAATAATGGAATAATCAGGGCCAGTAGTGCTTATTGGGAACTTGATATTAACATTTTTTTATTATAGGAACTACCACAAATGCTAGTGGTTAGTGCATCCACCCGGGCAGCGGAACACGCAGATGTGAGTCCTGCCTGAAACCTAGACAGAGTTGATTTTTTGACGTGACAACGTCTTAAATTAGGTTGCGGCTGGGAGTCACTTATGAAAAAGTGTAACGCTCGGTAACGTTACGATGAGTCTCTCGTGTTAAGTTTAAGTTTACATGTACAATGTTTTAGTAAACAAAATATATTTCTATAGTTAAAATTTGTGCAATTCTTATTTTCATTCAATTCCTTGTTCCTATTGTGCAATTTAATTATATTCATATCAATAAATATTCTACCGAGAAAAAGACGTTGTCACGTAAAATCTTCGCCCGTAAAACCGACTTTACAGGCAACCATTTTTTCTAGAATATTGTAAAAAATATTGTATAGATTTTTAATCGCGCAGATTGCATACGGAACCAAACAACGTAGCCTCTTAGCTGTGCATAGTTATAAAATCTACATCATCAAAATGTGCACTGCATACAGTACTGGTAGATGATGGGTTCCAATTGTTTTCTCCTCTGCAGTGTGGAATAACTAAAACCCAGTAATCATAAAAAAGAGGTAAGAGTAATAGGGATGATGACTAATTTTTTTTCTTCGTTTATCAGGTAGATTATCAAAAAATATTGGACACGTATTTTTTCTTTTTTCACATAATATAAACATTGCAGAGATATATTGATTTGAAAAGTCGCATGACGTCACGTTTGAGTACACTTTTAAGTGAAAATTCACACAAAAGTGACGTCACGAGCCCCTACTCCCAAACTTTGACGCGCTATTACTTTGTCATTTTTTGGTTGATTGCCCAAAGAAAAAATACGTGTCCATTATTTTTTGATCATCTAACTGACGGACTAAATAGAATTTCGTTTACTGTACCCCGTCATCACCCCTATTTTATATGAATAATATGGGTTCTGTTCTTTACCGTTTGGAATGCGGAACCCTAAAAAGTTACGAAATCTTGTCTTGCCGAGTAACAAATGCATGAAATACAAATTTGTACCACCCACTTTTAGCAAAATTTTCCCGTAAAAAAGTATCCACACAGTTGTATTTTTTGTTTTGAATTTTCATAACACTAAATAAAATAATTTTTAGAAAAAATATCACGATTCGTCATTACTTAAGCATGGTAGGTGATTCCTGTGGCTTTTTAAGTTTACTCGTGTGGTTTTTACATGATTTCATTACACAAGACGGCATATTTCTTTGTACTTTTTTTACCACAACTCCCTTAGTTTTTGAATTCAACAAAAAGCCATTTTGTACTTAGGTTTTTTCAAAAGTAACAATACTGTTTTACAGTACTGATAAAGAAGATTCCTTCATCTTTTCACATATAATGAAACGCACATACACGTGTGTGAAAGTTGTTTTTGAATATTTCACGTTGAAACTTTATATTTTGGCATTTGACGAAGAAAAACCAACCTTGAAATCAAAGCCAATATTAGGTCTTGTGATATTTAAAAACCAGATTTTGTTCATTTTTTTTATAAGTTACTAGTGGCCCACCCTCGCTTCGCTTCGGTGTAGAGCTGTAGTGTAGACTATAGTTTTTGTATCTTCTTCTTCTCTTACTCAGGCTTGTATTATACACAATGAATTTCTTTATATAATTATATACCTTCCATGGATTTTTATTAGACTGACGTGAAAATTTTGTAGAGGAGCTCGATGGCGCAAGTGGTGCGGCTGCGATCGTTAAAGTTAAGCAACTTTCGCAGTGGTCGGTCATTGGATGGGTGACCAAAATTTTACTATCTCGAGCTCCTCCGTGCTTCGGAAGGCGCTTAAACCGTTGGTCCCGGCTGCATTTGCAGTCGTTAGCACCCACCAATCCGCACTGAGCCCGAGTGGTGGGTCATGGCCCAATCTCCCTATTTCATCCACAGGTAAGGCCTGTGCTCAAGCAGTGGGGACATTAATAGACTGATGATAACGAAACTTTTGTTGCGTAGCTTAGGACCCGTTGTACCGAATGCACCATTTTTCTGGTTGAACGCGCAAATCTCAGGAACTAATGGTCCAATTTGAAAAAATCTTTTTGTGAAAGGCTATATAAAATCACGCTGCGACCTGTAGGAGCGGATCATCGATGTAAAATGTTGCAAAAACGGGTAAAAATATTCCATTTGTAAGCTTCCGTTGCGTGCGCTGCGTTAACGATTAAAGTTACACAAAAATCTTGTATGACAGAATTGTTTCCCATTTAAAAGTTCTATAAAAAGTCCGCGACAGCTTATACCCATCTTTTAAGTTT